TTCCCCTCATAAGTTGTGAACTTAGGTTGATGGAAGCCTAAGGGTAATAGTGCGTTCTCTATTGCCGAAACGAACGGCAAGCTCTGAAACCTAGTTAACGCTTTGTCTACTGGTTCGTAGGCAAGGCACGGTACTAGTATTCTAACCTCGACACTTCCATGTGTCCTAGGAGCCAACCGTTGTAGAGCAGAGACCCTTTGGGGTCGCGCACCTGATGATCTTCTTTTTTTCAAGCCCTTTCTTCTAGCACTGTCTGCAGGTCTTCCAACCTAGGCAACTCTATGTGCCTAGATGTCATTTGTTGCGCATGCGAGGGCCAATAATTGCTTCCCTCCATACAAGACCCTTTCAGTCCTCGTTCTCTCAAACCTGGAGTAACGAGTCCTAGAGGTCCTCGATTGCGTGTCACCTGTCCTGAGGCTTCTGCTTTTAGTCTGAGATGGCGTGACTTGCCTGTCACGACCTCCTAAGTGGCGAGAGTGCGTTCTTCCCTTGCCCAACTCTTCTTCTACCACCCCTTTGCCTTTTATCTGGTGCTTCATAGTCTCCATGTCAACTGCAATTCTCTTTATCATTTCGTCTTGCTCCCTGTCGCGATTTTTCAGAACCTGAGGATCCTTCCTCTGCCTCTGTCTATTAAGGCTTTAAGAGCAGCATGGATTTGAGCATCGTGTTTCTCGCGTGTCTCTCCGTGGGTTCTGTTGCTGGGGATCCAATTTTGCCATGGACGGGACAAAAGGCAAACCTTTGTGCCTCCTGTCCCCTTTTAGGGTTTGCCCATCGATAGCAGAATATGGCAAGTCTTCATTATGCGCTGTTGGAATTAATCGAAGAAAAACTCGATCAAAAGGTTTGTTCTCCGTAAAGCTTCCTACAGACGACGCCAATTGTACGAGTACAGAATAATCTTCTTGTATAATCCTGTTGAAGAAGTTTGCATTCCTTCAAACGTCGTCGCTTTGCTACCTAAAAAACACAATCATGAGCTAGAAATCCCTCCGATGCCTAAGTCAACAATTAGACAATAGACAATAAGTCAGCAATTAGACAATAGACAATAAGCTCTGTGTATTTGAGAGTAAGAATTGCAATACCTATGCATAGGTCTTGTCATGAGCTTTTATAGATTGCGCCTGGCACAATCCTAGTAGGACTCCAACTCTCCTTAGCAGAGTCCTCCTAGGAATCACATTCTGAAGGATAATGCCTATCCTGATAACATCCTACTCACTACCAACCAAGTGAGACGGTTGAATCCCTTTATCTCGGCTGACTCTACAGTCAACCGAGCTACCTCGACTCCATGCTCAACATAGCCGAACCGCGATGCTCCTGCTACCAGTCATCCTCTTACTGAGCTATACCTAGCTCGGCCCTCTTCACAGGCAACCCCTCGGTCTGTTACAAGACTATCTTTAGATAGCTAGGTCCAAACCCCAGTGACACCTCACATGGCCCAGGACTGAGCTACCCAATCTCCTACTCCGGCCTATAGCCCGATCCCTTGCTCGTCCCATAACCCGGTCCTCACCTCGACCCAATTTATTCACATAAATTACCCTCTCAAAGTTTTACTCCGGCCTTTAGTCCGATCCCTTGTTTTCTATATTTTTTTTTATTTTTACTGAATTTTTTAATATTTTAAGCAATTTAAAAATTTTTTAAACATACCTAACATAAATACACTTAAAAAGTATAATTTTCGTGAATTTTTTTTTAAAAGATTCACTAAATACCAAAAATATAAAAAAAAAAATTCAGTATATTTTTTATATTTTTTTGTATTTATTAATCAATGGTTTGGGTGTTGTGGGTGTGGGGCTCAATAGTTTGGTTCGTAGTTTTAATTGTCTTAATTGTTTATTTAAAAAATTTAAATTGTGGGGTCGAGGAATTGGTGGTAAGAATGCGAATAGTAATAATACGAGAGTGTCTTTACTCTTTGAATTCCTCTCAATGTGTCGTGTTTCCTTGTATCTTTAAATTTCATATTTTTAATGATTTTTTATTTTATTTTATTTTATTTTTTTGCCGACCTATCAATAAGATAATTCCAATCAATGTTGTCAAAAAGGCTTTTCAGAAATCAATCTTAACAATCGCTGCTTTCAAATTATTCTTTTTCCAGTAGATAATGATATTTATTTGGAGTGAGTATATCATCAATTACTTTATGCCTTACCTTTTTAACTCTACTGGTCAATGTTTTTGATAGAATCTTGTGATCTGTCCCCAATTAAACTAATGGGTCTATAACTCCACTGGCCAATGCTTTTGACAAAATTTTGTTAGCTGTCCCCAATTAAAACTAATAGGTCTAATCTTGCAACTATTTACGCCTCCGTTTGGAAAGTAAGTTGACTTTTTGATTTTTTTGACTATTTTAGTTCGGGTTAAAAAGTTTAGTTTGAACATTTTTTTTGATTTTTTTGACTTTTTTGTTGAGAGAAGAGTGTAATGATTATGGGTTAGATGTGATGTTTTATTTTTTATGACTAAAATAGTCTATTTTGTCTTTTGTGACTAAAATAGTCAAAAAAACCCACTTTAGTTCTTCCCAAACGAACCCTAAGGCAGTTCATCTTAGGAATTGAGACCTCTGATCAATTTATCATTTGCATAAAATTCCATCATAAACTTCATAATATCTCCCTTCACAATAAGCCAGATTTTTTTATGAATTTAAAATTCAGTTCATCAGGCACTGGTTGCCTTTTTACAACTGCAACCAAACTACTCACACAACTTGTTTGGGAATCTTGGTGTTTTTTAAAAAGTCAAAAATCATTATAATTTATCACATTATTCTCCCTATTTGTTTGTAAATTTTTTTTTAAAAAAAAAAATCAAAAAACAATTAAAATGACAATTCCCAAACAGCCAGCCCCTTAAAATTTAGCCAATTCCCATCCAGCATCTCTGTTAAAGCATTATCAGGTTCCACAAATGGCCTTCCGCCCATTTCAATTTGCCTAATGCAGTGTCTTTCAGATATTTTGTTAGCCATTGAGTAAAGAAGGTTGTGTTTTGCTCCGAAAATGTCGTGGCAATAAGAGGATGTTTAAGAAGTGATTATTTTAGTTAATTTCTTGATTTTTTAAGAAAAGGCATGAAAAAAAAATGATGTCAATGAGCGTTTTGATTTTTTTACTATTTTAGCTAAGGACCATCACTACAACAAAAAACACTTTTGGCGACAAAATTTTTAGTCGCCAAAAGTCTTTTTTTAGTCGCCAAATGTAGAATTTTCACTTTCCCCGACTAAATATTTTAGTCGCCGCTGTGGTCGCCAATACATGGTCGCGAATACCTTTGGCGACTAAAGATTTGTTAGTCGGCAATACATATGTCTTCGGCGACCAAAGAATTAGTCGCCAATAGTCAATTTTATTTTGGGAAATTATACATTTGCCGACTAAACGTTTCGTCGCCAATTCCCTATCTTTCGGCGACCACAGACTTTAGTCGCCAAAAGTATTTTTCAGAAAAAAAAAAAATTTTGCCTTTGTTTTTCCCAAGTTTCGAACCACCAACCTCCCAACCCTCAACCTTTACCGACACTCTATCCCCACTACGCCACTAATACATTCTGTAAATATTAATGGAAAATATATTATTTATATACTATATTGACCGGAATTAATACAAAGTTATATATATATATATATAAATAATTATTTTTATTTAATATATTTTATGTAAAAAATTAATTATTTACTAAAAAAATTAGGATCGCACTTTTGGCGACTAAATCTGAATTTTAGTCGCCAATTCTATATTTTTTGGCTACTAATTTGTATTCTGTCGCTAAAAGAATTAAATCCCGCCTAAGGATAGCACTTTTGGCGACTAAACTGAATTTTAGTCGCCAAAACCTCTACTTTGGGCGACTAAAGTGCAATTTAGTCGGCAATTCTTGACCTTTCAGTGACCAAACATATTTTAGTCGGCAAAACAGCTATAATCGGCGACTAAGCTGTTTTTTAGTCGCCAAAACCATCACTTTTGGCTACTAAACAACCTGTAGTCGCTAAAACCCTACATTCGGTGACTAAACTGCCTTTTAGTCGCTAAAACCATTATATTCGGCGACTAAACTGTTTTAGTCAGCAAAACTGATCAACTTTGGCGACTAATTCCATTTTAGTCGCCAAAAACCGTACTTTCCGGGACAAAAAAAGATATTTTAGTCGCCGATTGTACTTTTTGTTGTAGTGAAAGCTACCCCCGAATCCCCCTAAACCCTAAACGACGCCGTTTTTATTTTTATTTTTTTGTTTTATTTTTTTTATTTTTTTTGCAGAAGAAGAAGGAAGATCAGAGAAGAAGAAGGAGAAGGGAGGAGGAGGAAGAGGAGGAGGAGGAGGAGGAGGCGGGGGGCGGAGGCGACGAGCTGCTGCTGCGACGATCGGCGGCGGCGGAGGCACACGCGGCGATCGGCGGCGAGCTTTCTCCCTCCCTCTCTCCTCTTCTTCCCCTCTCTTCTCTTTCTCTCTTCTCTTTCTCTCCCTTTGCAGACTCGAAAAATGGAAGGGAAAAAAAAAGAAGCTAATGCCCAAAACGACGCCGTTTGGGCATTAGGGGGATTCGGGAGGGGGGGTAAACTAATGCCCAAAACGACGTCGTTTTGGGCATTAAGGGGATTCGGGGGGCAATGTTTCGAGCTCTCAAACATTATCCTTTAGCTAAAAAGCAAACACCCCAAACGGGGCCTAGTCCAATAGGATGGCAAAGGGTGAGATTAGCTTCCGTATGGGAGGTTGAGATTCACAATCCGAATTTGTGATGAAAATATCATTATATTCTTATTTTACAAAAATAATAAAATCACCTTTTGTATATAATGAGAATTTTTATATAAATTCATACATTCTCACTTAGTTAATTGTTTATTTTACTTGTCAAACCTATTACTATTACAATAATGGTCTCATTATTCAATTTCATCATATTTAAAATCTCATGGACTCTAATTTAACAAGGTCAATGCAGTTAAAAAGTACAAAAATAGCACTTAATTAACCCTTTCTATTTCTTATTAGCATAAAAAAAAACCAAGAAATTTAAACACTCACACCCCGACGTTAACACAGAGAAATAGTGCATTCAAAAACAGAAATATTTAAAAATATTCAAAATTTAAATATGTTGTGTAAATTTATTTTAGTGTAGAGTAAATCGCACTTAAAATAAATTTAATTCATACATTTTAAATTTTGAATAATCTTTAAAATATTATTTGAAGTAATTAAATAGGAGGCCAACCTCCCGGCATGGCAGCACCAAAGAGCTAAAGTTACAGTACTTGTGGCCTTCGGTGGCTTTGAAGAAAACCCAATAAATTGTCCACATAGCGGTCTTGCCTATCCGTGTCACCAAACAGTTTGCTCATCTTCTTAACGTTGTCCCTGTATGTTTGCCCGGCTTCGTCTAGCATCACCAACCTCAGTGACTCAGCCACTGAGTTCCTCGTGAACGATCCATCTCGCTCATCTCTCGGTATTGGATAACCCAGCTTTTTTTCCTCCAAAACCCTAGCATTTAGGCCTTGGTCGGACAAGAAAGTCAACAATATAAGACCTCTCCCAAACTGTATGCCCTCCACCAGCGAACCCCACCCCGAGTGAGTCAAAAACCCACCCACCGAGTCATGACTCAGTATCTTGGGCTGAGGTGCCCAACTCGTCCACACCATCCCTCTTCCCTTAGTTCTCTCCTCAAACCCATCAGGTAATTGGATATTATCAGCTGATCCAGAACGCCTCCGTAGTACCCAAAAGAAGGGTAAACCAGATAGCTCTAACCCGAGAGCTATCTCAGTGAGTTGACCTTGACTCAGTTCTGCCTCGCTCCCGAACGCGATATAGACCACTGACCCTTTAGCCTGGTTATCGAGCCACTCTTTTATATCGATCCACGCATCGTTGTTGTTGCCATCGCCACCGTTGTTTACCGTGACTGGAAGTAGACCTACCGGTAAAACTGGTTTCTGATGAAGCTGTTGAACGAGTTGAAACCATTCGGGTTCAAACTCCGAACAGCTTTTGATGGCGATGATGTCACATGCTTTGATGGAAGCTCCCAATCGATACAAATCGGAAATATTTTCTTCGTCGCCTACAACTGCATCTTTGAAAATACTCAAGACCTCGAAGAGTTTAAACGCGACCGTTGTTTCAAAGGGAATCCAGTTGGGTGGGACGGTGAAATCCTCTGGTTTAGTGCGATAATCTTTAGTTCCCGTAAGAACTGTAGAGGGTCCAACGAAGCCCAAGAAAGCAGCGTTGAGGATGATGAAGAAAGCAGTTGGAATGTTAAGATTGGATGCGATGGTGGGGAGCCAGTAGGGGACAAAGTCGAAGAAGAGCCAATCAGGAGATGAGGATTGGAGGAACTGGGTAATGGGTTTTTGGAGAGCATCGTAGGCGATCTTGAGGTATTTGACCTCGTGGTAAGCTACATCAATGGTGGCCTCCGCGTTTTCAGGGAGTTTGTCAAGGATGGGTAGAGGAATCTTGACGAAATTAATGAGGTGGGCTAAATGTGGAGGGAGTTTTGGGAGGCGATCGATGTTTTTAGGGGTGGAGATGAAGGAGATTTTGTGACCCTTTTGGGCTATGAGCTTGGCAAGCTCTAAGTATGGAATCATGTGACCAAAGGCTAACCATGGGAACATAGCAACGTGTAGCTTCCCGTCGTTGGCCATGGATACCTACAACTCAGGTATTCACTTCCTTTCTTTAGCCTGCTTTTGTTATGCTGCGCTTCAATTATCCTCGTATTTATATTAGGAAAAGTATAGAAACATATATATATAGAATCTTTTAGGTTTGATTTTTTAATTGAAAAATGATATACAAATATATTTTTTAAACTTACTTTTTAGATATAATAATATATAAATGAGACAATTAGTTGATAATTAAAAATAATAATAATAATAAGAGAGATATTTTAGATATTCTAATAGACTCCTACATCATTAGCTATGAAGTGTAAGTACTTAAAAAAATATCTCGTATTCGTATCGTATACTTTTTAGATACGGACAAGTCTGAAGAGTGTCAGAATTTTTTTATTTATTTTTTCAATTTAGGATACGTTTCGAATACGAAAAGAATACGTTTGACATATGACAAAGGCCAAAATATAATTTCTTAAAAATTTTAATAGGGGTCAAATTATAAAATTATAAAATTTAATGCAAAGTAAAAAAAAAAAATACCAAACATATACCACTACTTAGTACTTATGGAATGATCAAAGTGGGAAAAAATTAAGGAACCTTAAGCCAATATAAAGACAAAAATAAAAAATAAAATGAAACAACGCACCATTGACCTCCAAAGGTGGATCCAGTCTCTTTTTATTTTTTCTTCTATCTTTATCTTCATAAAAATTGACATTGATAATCTTAACTTATTATAATTTTTTTTATTAACTTGCCTTAGGATTTGGTATATGCTGAATCAACATTTGATATTAACTAAATGAATAATGAACTCAGGTTTTTTATTTTATTTTATGCAAACTACATTATTAAAAATTATAAAAATATATTTTTTACAAACTTATTCTTACCGTACCTCTATTTTACATTTTTAGGTTTGTGGTATCAACGTAGCCGTATCGTATCTATTCGTATTTCGTATTTGTATCGATGCTTCCTATATAATTAGATTTGAAAAATGGGTTTACTTTTTAGCCTAACTAGCATTACTCTTTTCAAAAAGGGTTTGACTTTTCTCAAATTATATCTTAAGCCACCGTTTGGGAAGTGGGTTGGCTTTTTAACTTTTTGGCTATTTTAGCCTGGGCTATTTTAGCCTAGTTTGGGAAGGATTTTTTTGGCTTTTTGACTTTTTTGACTTTTTTTGTGAGAGAGGATTGTAATGATTATGGGTTGGATTTGATGTTTTGTTTTTTGTGGCTAAAATAGCCTATTTTGTTTTTTGTGGTTATTTTAGCCAAAAAAGCCTGGCTTTTTTCTTCCCAAACGGAGAACTTGAGAGAGTATTTGTACTTGTAGATCCATTTTGGAAACGATTTCAGTGATTTGAATCGTTCACTTTTTTAGACTCGTTGAGTAAAATATTTATATAAAAAATCAAAATGATTCAATATCAGTAGTTATATATTTGAATCATATATATATATATATATATTAAAAAAATAGACGATAAATATAATTTCGAGAATAACCATTCATTTTTTGTAATACAAATTTGATTTAAACATATAGCTACTGATACCCAATCATTTTTATTTTTTGCATGAATATTTTACTCAACTAGTTCTAAAAAATGAACGGTTCGAATAATTGAAACAGGAGCTGTGGTGGGCTTCACAAGTCCCTCAAATTCTCTCATGTTGAAATGTAAACATGAAATAACCTAATCCTTTCATGAATTGTAGATGAGTTTTTATTTATTTTTTCGTATTTTAATTAATTTTTTTGGTACTTTTTAGATGTAAATAATCAATTTGCATCTAGAAAGTAAAAAAACAACTTATGTGTAGGTCTTAATAGGTGAATTCATTATCCAATAGGTCATCTAAAAATTAATGGTATTTTTAATCAAACACTATTAAAATAATTACTAATTTTTAATTTTCAACGACAATTTAAAAATTGTCACAAAAATATCACTAATTATAAATTTTATCAATAGTTTAAAAAAGCGTCACAAAAAATGTCACTAATTTTCAATTATTAATGAGAGTTTAAAAAATTCGTAATTAAAAAAGTTACTAATTGTAAGTTTTAGCAACAATTTATAAAAATCATAACCAAAAAAATCACTAATTATCAATTTTTAACGACATTTTATTTAGACTTATTTTCAATATGACTTTATAGGAAGTAAGTTTAACTATTAAGATTTATTGATAATTTACCCTTACTAAAATAAATTGACTAAAAATATTTTAAAAAATCATTAAAAATAAAATTCAAAAAAAAATCCATGTGCATTTTTGTTCGAATTCGTTTGCTTTTACTGAATTTTTATCATATTTTTGTTATTTTTTTTTAGATGCATCTAATAGTAGTATAAATAAAATGTTACTAAGCCTCCGTTTGGGAAGTGGGTTGGCTTTTTGGCTTTTTGGCTTTTTGGCTTTTTTGACTATTTTAGCCTGGGCTAAAAAGCTTGATTTGGGAAAGGCTTTTTGACTTTTTGGCTTTTTTGACTTTTTTTGTGAGAGAAGAGTGTAATGATTATGGGTTGGATGTGATGTTTTGTTTGTTGTGGCTAAAATAGCCTATTTTGTCTTTTGTGGCTAAAATAGCCAAAAAAGCCCATAAACTTACTTCCCAAACGGTGCCTAAAATATAATAAAATAAGTTCAATAAAGACAAACAAAAACTCATTTAAAATAATTTTTAAAAACTGTAACCAAGCACAATTATAAAATTAAGTTCTTTATCTAAAAGTCGTATTTACAAATGTTATGGTAGTTCATATCCTATCTAATATTTTTTAAACTAATAAGTCCTATTTATTAAAATTAAGAATATTATAAGTTTTTTTTTTCAATTTTTAAAACTAAGAACATTATTAATTTTACATAGTAATATTTCAAATAATTGTTTTACTAACTGACGAAAAAAAAACAGATTATGAAATTAAATGTTTTTACCTTTCTATTTATTAGTTTGATTCAACTATTCAGTTGCAGTTTTAAAACTGAAAACATTATCAATTTTTTCATTTTTAATTTTTTTTCAGTTTTGCATATCAATGTTCTATCATCATGCTACTTTATAGACACAAAATTTTCAATTTTGTACAAAAAAATAATTCAATTTTTTTTAAAAAAAGTTTTTTTTTTCATGTATATAATTTTTCTTTTTAGTTTTTTCAATTTGAAAGTTGATATTTTAAAGTTTTTCAAATCAAAATAAATGTCAAATTATCATGTTCTTTTGTAGATAATCATAAATGATGAACAATCATTATTTGAAAGATAATTCTGACTATTAAAAATTTAATGAGACTTAAAGATAGAAAAAATCTTAGTTAAGACTTAATGAAATATAAATTTATAAATTAAAACTTGTGTGTAAATGTTCCTATAAAATTTAATACACGAAATGTACAGATATAATACATATATATACATTTATGAATATTTTTTGTTTTACATATTTATGTTCCTAATATTATTGTTATATAATAAAATAGATATGTGACAAAAAAAATATTCGTATCTACAACAGTAATATTATAAATCTAAATTTAATTTTATATATAAATTATATTTTATATAAATTTAATTTTCGTCACATAACCATCAAAGTCTGATTCGGATCTATAGACTGTTGCTCAGATTAACTAATGAAACGACGCTGGTCACCACCACGATGGCAGTGAGGCCAACACTACTATTTTAGGAAAAATTATTTACAATCATGCTAGAGACCGCAGGACCCCACAATTCCCACACCACGGCATTTGTGAGAGAGAGAGAGAGAGGAGAGAGAGAGAGAAAAAAAAAAAGAAAAAGACAAAATAATAAATGGTTATAATCAATTAAGGTGCCGTTTGGCAAGAGAGGGTTGGGTTATTTTAGTCACTACCGGACAAAAAAAATTAACAACAATGATTCATCTCACTAAAAATATCACCACTAATAGCACTAATGCATTAAAAAAGTAAAAAAAAAAAAAAACAACTCCAAGATTAAAACATCACATCATTAATGGCGGAACAGATTAACTAATGAAACGACGCTGGTCACCACCACGATGGCAGTGAGGCCAACACTACTATTTTAGGAAAAATTATTTACAATCATGCTAGAGACCGCAGGACCCCACAATTCCCACACCACGGCATTTGTGAGAGAGAGAGAGAGAGAGGAGAGAGAGAAAAAAAAAAAAAAGAAAAAGACAAAATAATAAATGGTTATAATCAATTAAGGTGCCGTTTGGCGAGAGAGGGTTGGGTTATTTTAGTCACTACCGGACAAAAAAAATTAACAACAATGATTCATCCCACTAAAAACATCACTACTAATAGCACTAATGCATTAAAAAAGTAAAAAAAAAAAAAAATACAACTCCAAGACTAAAACATCACATCATTAATGGCGGGATCCACTGTCACCAAATTAGTAATTAGTGCTCCCAAACATTTTTCAAAAATTAAATTAGCCAAATAGAGACAAATGCTTGTCAAGTGCTTAGCAACAACTGATGTCAAGATAAATTTACGAAACTATCCCCGCATGAAAGAGTGGCATCGCCTCCGCATACACAAAGTAAAAAAAAAGAAAAAACTTTTTCCCAAAAAATACCTTTTCCCAGAAAAAACAAAGAAAGTTGAAAAAAAAATTAAAAACAGAAATTAATATTTGCGATGTAATTTAAAAATAAATAAAACAAATGAAAAACTATTTTTTAAAAATAAAAACAAATTAATGTATACAAATACAAATAAAAATAAAAATGACAAAAACGTAAATTAAAAAAAAAGAACCACAAAAATACGCCTCATCCAAAATATAAAAAAATAAAAACAGAAATTAACATTTTCCACGTAATTGAAAAATAAATAAAACACATGAAAAATCATTTTTGAAAAATAAAAACAAATTAATATATACAAATAAAAATAAATTAAGTCAAAAACATAAATTAAAAAAAAAAAAGAACCACAAAAATACGCTTCATCCAAAAAATAAAAAAATAAAAACAGAAATTAGCGTTTGGCACGTAATTTTAAAATAAATAAAACACATGAAACATCATTTTTGAAAAATAAAAACAAATTAATGTATAC